CGGTCCTAGGGGTGAAAGTTATTTTTATTGGAAAATTATTACTACTGAATATATCGGATAATACATTCCATTCGATTCTATGAGCGAGTGAGGATGAACAGACAGTCAAATCGATACATGAAAAATTTCCATTTGCTAAATTAATGTGTGTAGGAGTTGAGTCGTTGAGTAACGCAATGTTATCTTTGTCGAGTAATTTTTCAATTTCTTTACCTCTGGGATCTGATTTAGTGGATCCCCATATAGGATTGTGCGCATTAAAGTCGCCTAGAAGAATAAAAGGTGTGGGAAGTTGTTGAATGATGTGATCTATATCCCTAGTGTAGAAATTTTTTTGGTTGGGGAGATATATGTTGCATATTGTTAATTTTTCTTTCATATCGATTTGTACCGTTGAGACTTCTAGTTCACTGTGTATATGTATAGTTTGGCAAGATACAAAATCTTTGACGTAAATGGATGAACCACCACTAGCTCTACCTGCTTCAAGACGGTTTTTGCTGTATCATATGTAATTTTTGACGGACTCGGTCATTTCGCCGCGACCGTTTCGCCGCCGTTCGTTTCGCCGCCATTAATTTCGCCGCCGTTCATTTCGCCGACGGACTATGCACCGCCGGACCATTTATCGCCATCGTTTTTCCGTTATCTTATTTTTTTTCTCGTAACGTCAATAAAATAATTAATAATCTTCTTCTTCTTCTATATACGAGTAAATAAAAAACGAATGCTGTTTGTATGTCTCGCTAAAACTCGAGAACGGCTGGACCGATTCAGCTCATTTTGGTCTTAAATTATTTGTGGACATAAATGTTTGTGAGCAGATTTGTGGGAAGAAGATAGGCTAATTTAAAAAGGATTAAATTTGGTATTTTTTATTCATCGGATTTTAGTACGTTAAGGTTAGGTTAGGATTATGTATTAATTGATTATATTAATCCACCGTATTATGTCAAACTTGGTATAACTTAGATACTTTATTAGAGTTAAATCATACACTTACGTACAAACAGCACTAGATCCCCGATCTACCCTAACCTGATAATATACTGCTGTGAATCAGAATTTTTATTCCGGGCAACAGAAAACTTAAATCTAGAACAGGGATGGCGAACCTATGGCACGCGTGCCAGAAGTGGCACGTTGACCAAATTTCAGTGGCACGCAAATATTATTTATCTTGAAAAAAAAATATTATTTTTTAAAACGTTACTATGAGAAATTTTAAGAATCAAATTTATAAGTTTGATAAAATGCTCATTCTACTCTAACAATTTTTTCGTCAACTTATGCTTGTGAATTTAATAAAAACGGAGCAGAGAAATACATTAATCGATGAAACTAGTGCTGCTTGTGTTTCACTGAAAATTACCAACTATAATCCAGATATTAAAATGTTATCTTCTAAAAAACAACAACAGAAATCACATTAATAAATTAAATAAAACTTTACGTATATACTATTTATTTATTAAATTATATACCTAATAAAATGTGTGTGATTATTGCATGCTTTTTCTTTTCATCTTACCTAGTTTTTTTTTGGTGGCACGCGAACGTATTTCAAAAAACGTTTTTTTTAAATTTTGGCACTTGACCCAAAAAAGGTTTGCCAACCCTGATCTAGAACATCATCCACCGAATATTAAATAACGAATTGAACAAAGTTATAGTCATATAGAGTTGGTATATATAACGAGCAACGAAATGCACGGGATCAGCTAGTTACAAATAAAACATTACATTTATAGCGCCATAACTGTATACTTTACATAATAATCAAAAATTTTGAACTGTATTTTATGAAGTTAGATACATTATATTATTAACTATGAGGGTAAATAAAATAATATATTTTATTATATTATAATAAAGGGTTATTGGATTATTTTTGTTAACTATATCATTGGTATTATTAAATTGGTTGTCACATAAGATTTTTATAGACTCTACATCGTTACTTAAATTGTTGAATATAGTTTTCCTCATGTGATTGGGGGAATTTCTTGAATATGTTAAAAACATATATAACGGTTTAATGTATTTACCTATTCTTCTGTCCATTATTCCTTTACCTAGCATTTAGTGTGTGATTTTGTATGCATTTTATTAAAATTTGTCTTATGAATAATTTATAGATAGATAATATATTTGTATGGTTGAATAATTCCCTGATGTATATTTTAATGGTAATGAGTACTCTATTTTTATTATCAATTTTTTGGGTTATATGTAATGTATTTCTGTCTGTTCTAGTAGAGCCTCCCCAACTTATTATACCGTATAGTAGTATTGAAATACATAATGTCATGTACGAGTATATTTTTCGGGCAAATGTAAACTGAGCCTACGGTTGCCACTTTTGTTGTAAACTCGGCCTGAAAATTTTAGGTACCTAATAAGATAGATAGATTGTACTTGTAAACTCGGCCCGTTCATTTTTACTAATAAAATATATAATAAGGACGACATAATTTATTTTACAAATTATAAATTGGTAACGTACCTGTTATTTTATCATGAACAATTTGTTGTTAACCAATGCTAAAATATATTTAAATATTGAGACAAATATTTTAATTTTCGTATATGACTTTTGAAACAACGTTTCAATAGTGTTTATACAACCATGACGATGGAATACAAAGTTGAGTCCCAACGTGGACAACCACTGTTAGCTTTAGAACATTTAAAGTACTTATTTTAAAGTAACTCGTACGTTAACGTATGTGAAGTTTGCCCCTCCCCCCCAAGTTTTACTACTTATACGTAACGTGTGCTAAAAATTAGCAATTGATTTACAACTATTAGTAACAAAAGTCTCATAATTTGCAACTTAACACACTCAATACAATTCAAATTTCATTATTGCGGGGCCCAACTTCATGTAGCCCGCCAAATCGTCGTATCGAATCCAAATCGGTGTCAACGTTTTCCGGCTAATGTGCAACGGTTTGGCCTCCTGGTGGTGTCCTCTGGGTAATAATAAATGGTTCTCTAATATCATGAGAATATTTTTATTTGAGCCGAGTTTAAACGACAATCATTTTTATCTTCGAGCCGAGTTTACAATCGTCCATATTTGTCTTATGATTGATTTATTAAGAAATCGAATTTTACAGAATAATGCAGTTTAGTTCCTTATTTTATTTTTAATATTTTGTAGATGTTCTAATCATTTTAAATTAAAATCTATTGTTATTCCTAAATAATGGTTAACAATTGCAATTTGTCGTAACAGTTCCACAATAATGTATTATAAAGCTATATCCAACAGGAAGCTGTGTATGGGTTATAATTATTGGCATGCAGACCGATTTATTTATGTTAAGTGGAAATAGATTTTTTTCAGCCAGTTACATTTACCGTAAATCTATTTCGACAGTTCGTTTTAATTTTTCCCAATTATCTTCATATTAATATAGGTGTATATTCAAGATCATACCGTTCTTTTTGTTTAACTCTTCCCAGCACAGGGGTCTGAATAATTTTTATACCTTGGATGCACAGGAACCAATTTTTTCAGAAAAAATATGTTCCAATTATAAAATCATAATATTGTTTTATTAAATAAGATAAATTAAGAGTTAAAAAATTTTTAAATTTTTTTACAAAAAAGTTATCATAGATGGGATAGCATATGTCCCATCGTGCAGCAAGTAGTAGGTGCAAATGAGTATCAATAAAATATAAATCATATTATATTTTATTATTTAAATATTTCATTTAGCGATAAAAAATTGTACTTTTACACAATTTATACAAAAAAGTCGCTAAAAAGATTCTCTTCGTAATATATATATATAATAAATATAAAAAATAAATACGGACCGGTCAGTGGTTACTATTATTATGAGTTCTCAGTATTATAGAGATTGTTGAGTACATTGAATACAATCAAACGCGTAGGTATAGATTATTAATGGGGGGGGGGGGAGTTCGACTTAAATTATTAGTGACAGGCTAACGTGAAAAAAACCAAATACAAATAGGCGTATATTAATAAAATACTTTTCATATTATTTTTTTAAATTAAACATTATACAAGTAAATTTAATCGTTTCCTACGTTGTGTTAATTTGTTTACAATGAGTAAAGTATATTAACTGTTTGGGATTTTTTAATAGGGGGGTTGAACCCCCCAAACCCCACCCCCTTACCTACGCACCTGAATACAATAATAGTCGTTGATGAATTAATTAATTTTGTCAAATGATATAAAACTTTGAATTTTGGTTGTCATATATCTAATATTATTTTGTTATAGATTGAAATAAATTTCAAAAAAATTTCGTTCAAACCATGAAATATGAATATTAATGTTCTTAAACCCAAAATATGCGAATTCGTACAAAAAATAACAAAATATGCAAAATTATGCAACAACAATTTCTACATCTAAAATATACATACTACGAATCGAATTTGTATCGAATCAGAATTACAATATGCACTTTCTAGACAAATATGCAAATGCCTAAAGTTCCGAGCCTTGATTATGATTATCTAAATTTAAAATTTGTCTTTATAAATTATTTATATATTTATATTTAATTACTCTTCATAATCGGTAATTGAAGAGGATTCGGAAATTATTATTTGACGCGAAGGCAAACAGTAATCTTCATGGTATCCCACCGTGCCGGTAAGAGTTAAAATATTATCTATTATCGAACTGGAAAATGTCATGTTTATTTTTACTCTAAATTGTGAGTAGACAATATTCTTATATTAAGATTGTGTAGACAATAGGTTCCTACCAAGAAGCACTCTAAAGGAGTGAGGAAGTGAACATTATATAAAAATATCTATTTTTAAGTATTATCATTGATTATAAATACTTAGTATTTATAATCAATGGTATTATTTTTAAAATAATTCCTAGTCGTTCGAATAATTTCTAATAAATACAATCATTCTCTGTTCATCTGTACACGACACGAGACACATTTGAGTTTTCTGTTTTTTGTTTTTTACTTTTTATATTTTATTTAAACAATATGGAAGTGATTACGAATCGTAACCGACAAATTATTGTTCACGAAGGATATCAATATATTTTTGATAAATTAGGGACTGGTAACGTCACTAAATTGTATAGATGTAGACGTGACATTCATTGTAAAGGTCGGATTAAGGTAAGTAGCGATGGTGTCATTGAAGTTACTGGAGATCACGGTGGCCATGACGAATCACCAGTCGGAATAGAAGTAAGTTAAATATTTAAGTGTTAAATATGCCCAACATCAATAATAGATAATAGTTGGTTGTTACTATTGATTGTCTTATATTTAAATATTTTAAAAAAGTATGTTTTTAAATATTATAGATAGCTTCGACGATCACTAATATTAAGAAACGAGCTTTGGAAACTATGGAGGCACCAGCTATGGCAATTAATCAATGTATAGGTATATATCAATTATAAATTATTATTTAATATAAAAGTAATTTATTCAAATAAATCGAATTTTAATTAAAATAATAAATATAATTAATAAAAAAAAAAAAAAAAACAAAAAATATAATAAAATATATATAGGTAGGTATTGCCTAGAGTATTATAAAATTAAATGCAAAATAATACAACTGGTTTTGATTTTTTAAATCAAAACCTGAATATAAAATAAAATAAACTGTAAGAATACAAATAATATAATTTTTACATAAATAAAACCTTTTTTTCTAGTTTAATAAAAATAAAAGTTTTAGTAGTACCTAGATATTTTATTTTTAATGAGTGATATGAAACTATTTCTATTAGAATATATTACAACAAGTAGGTAGGTTCTCATCTTATTACTTTCCAAATATTTTTCAAACTGTATCTACCTATTTTAAACAATTTTAATTATTCCAATTGCTCTCACCCAAACAACAGACACTTTTAATATGGGTAAGTATATTATAAAAATTAGGCATAAAACTAAAATGGGGATATTTATCAAGTCAAGTATTTATAAACAATTATTTACTAAAAACATCATGAGTATATAATTTACATATCTGTAACTAAAAACTCAGAATTTTAAGACATTTCTTTGTTACTCGTAGAGTTATACGATTATCTTACCAGTTTTCAATGTTTTAATTTAAAATAATTTTTATACAAGGATTCATCATAATATATATTTTTTAGAAGGTTTAACAATTGCTGGAAAAGGAGCGTTAACTTCTGTTAACAACCTTAAAAATATTGTTCGAAGAGTTCGGCGGCATAATGGTCCACAAATTCCCGTTGCTCCATTAACATTAATGGAATTAGAAATTCCTGAGGAGTATAAAAAATATGAAGTGGAACCTGGGCAATTCGAAAGTTTTTTGCTCTGTGATACAGGACCTGGAGCAAATAGAGTCCTTATATTTGGTCGCCAAAGAGGATTGGAGGTATAAATGTTAACATATTTAATATGGTTTTTAAATTATTACAGAATAAATGGCCAATTAAAATATTATTTTATGTGTAAATTATGAATTTTTTTTTATCATCAATTTACACCATAATAATAACTAAAACTGCTATTTTAAAAAAGAAATTTGTTTATTTGTATTTTATATGTTGTAATTTAGATACTAGCGACAAGCAATGAGTGGTTTGTGGATGGAACATTTAAGATTGCCCCAAACCTATTTTCACAAGTATTTGTGATCTTAGGCAGTCACAATAGTGGTGTTCATCCATGTTTGTATGCACTTTTACCTAACAAAAACCAGGCAACATACAACCGACTTTTGGTGGAAATTAAAAATCTAGCTCCAGGAATAATTGCTGGAAGTATTTCTGTGGATTTTGAAATTGCAATACATAATGCTTTTAGAACTGAATTTCCTAATATAGAAATTAGAGGTTGTTTTTTTCATCTTTTGCAAAATATGAAAAAACAAGTTGCAGCTGTAGGATTAATGGTGTAAGTTAAATGTTTTATTTTATTTAAATGGAATATATTATGATAAATCTATGTTGAGGTTTTATATTTATAAATTATAAAAATGCATTTAAAGTTAAATAAGTCAAATATTAAAAATAAATATGAAATTTAGATTTTTGTTTACATACCTACCTACCAAATTAATATATAAATCATTTTTAAATAATTAAATATAAAAATGAGATATGTTTAATAGTTTAATATACAATATGTTTATTATAATATTACTCCATTTAGAGACTACAGAAATGATGCAGACTTTAATTTACATGCTCGGATGATAACGGCGTTGGCATTTGTCCCGCCAGAAGACGTGGCTGCTTATTTTGAAATGCTAAGTGTGGAAATAGAAGCAGTTTATCCACCATTACAACCAATCCTCGATTGGCTAAAAACTTATTATATTGGAATGTTGAGAAGAGAAGGTGTTAGAAGAATACCATCTTTTCCTATTCCTACTTGGAATTTATATTATAGAGTTCTAGCTGAACAAATGGTATGTCACATTATCAAACCCTTTATTTAATTTACTCCAATGAAAATTAGATTATTATAATTAGAAAATTATGCCCCTATCTGATTTTAAAAGCAGGCCGATGGGCTGGTTCCTGATTGCCGTTTATTCATTATTATATTTTATTATTGCAAAACATAATTATTTTTATATTTTCTAAAAATACTATACTGTGTATCTACCAAAAAATTATTATCACAATGATACATTTTTAATTCATTTTAATTTAAAAAGTTCCCATTTAGTTACATTTATTGACCATTATAGACATTTTAAAATTAATTAACTATGAAAATCTTCAAAGTGAATTTCCATCTTCAAAAAGTTAATAAGTCATGCAAACAAAGACCGAGATGATGGAATTCATAACTTTTGTTCTATTTCCAAAATTTTAAATTAACTTCCAAATGCTTTTTAAGGAACTTTAAACTATAAATATTCTTATGACTTTATTTGTTACTACTACTTTCAATGAAGGATTTTTTTTCTTCTCTAAAATTAGTTAAAATCCATTTAAGGCTAACAACGGAGCGTTGAATGAACGGCTGAGTAATTTACTGATCATTGCAGTGGAAAGTGATGTATCAGGTAAAATTAAGATGATGTAGGATTTCTAAAATTAAAAAAAGATGCCCTTAAATAAACTTATAATATTTGTGTTATTCAATAAAAGGTGTCATAATAGATTACTGAGTTTTAATTGGTATAGGTATACAATTGTTTTTATAAAACATCTGCTACCTTATATTTGCAAATTATGTTGTTATCTAGTGAAAAGAATTTTAATAATAAAAGAAAAAATATTTAAATTATAAAATAAGTGAAGTGGGAATGGTAATTTAAAAAAATGTAAGTAGATAATTTGTTGCGAGCAGTTTTTTTTTACTTATTTGGGCTGGTCAAAAACTTTGCCCCCCTCTATTCAAAACTGAAATGATGCCACTGAATGAATGCCACATAATCTGAAAATCAACCAATTCAGTTATTTTTCTTAATTAATTAACAATTATAAATTTATTATATTATTTAATATTTTAATTTATTTTCTTATAATACAACTTTGTGACAACTATTATAGTATTTATTTAAAACTATGAAATACCTAACTAATAACTTAACCTATGTTATAATATATTTAAATATATAAATTATAATATATTTTAAATTTTAATATTACTTACAAATAATTGTAATTATTATTATTTATGATTTGGTTATCTGTTTAAACAGAAAACGAATAATATTGCTGAGGCATCGCATAGGAGACTCCAGGCACAGCTCAGCATGACAAACCCTACTATTTGGAAATTCATAATAGAACTCAGAAAAGTACAAGCGGAAAGGGATATATATTATGAGTATCTTGTTGCGGGTAATCAACCGCCTACATCAAAAAAAAAAATTTGTGGATGCCGGAAATCGTATTTTAAACATTGTTCAAAATTATAGGAACCGGTCAGTGATCGAGTACCTTAGAGGACTAGCTCACAATTTTGTCATGGATAACTAATAAAAATAAATTAAATAATATATCTTCTTCTTCTTCTTCTCCCTCGCCTTTCTCTCAACTATTTGGGGTATAAAAATCTTATGTGACAACCAATTTAATAATACCAATGATATAGTTAACAAAAATAATCCAATAACCCTTTATTATAATATAATAAAATATATTATTTTATTTACCCTCATAGTTAATAATATAATGTATCTAACTTCATAAAATACAGTTCAAAATATTTGATTATTATGTAAAGTATAGTTATGGCACTATAAATGTGTTTTATTTGTAACTAGCTGATCCCGTGCATTTCGTTGCTCGTTAAATATACCAACTCTATATGACTATAACTTTGTTCAATTCGTTATTTAATATTCGGTGGATGATGTTCTAGATTTAAGTTTTCTGTTGCCCGGAATAAAAATTCTGATTCACAGCAGTATATTATCAGGTTAGGGTAGATCGGGGATCTAGTGCTGTTTGTACGTAAGTGTATGATTTAACTCTAATAAAGTATCTAAGTTATACCAAGTTTGACATAATACGGTGGATTAATATAATCAATTAATACATAATCCTAACCTAACCTTAACGTACTAAAATCCGATGAATAAAAAATACCAAATTTAATATCCTTTTTAAATTAGCCTATCTTCTTCCCACAAATCTGCTCACAAACATTTATGTCCACAAATAATTTAAGACCAAAATGAGCTGAATCGGTCCAGCCGTTCTCGAGTTTTAGCGAGACATACAAACAGCATTCGTTTTTTATTTACTCGTATATAGAAGAAGAAGAAGATTATTAATTATTTTATTGACGTTACGAGAAAAAAAATAAGATAACGGAAAAACGATGGCGATAAATGGTCCGGCGGTGCATAGTCCGTCGGCGAAATGAACGGCGGCGAAATTAATGGCGGCGAAACGTTCGCGGCGAAGTGAACGGCGGCGAAATGATTGCGGCGAATAGTACGGCGGCGAAACGATCGCGGCGAAACGTACTAGACCCATTTTTGAGGGGAGCTGTGTTATTTTCTTTGAAATATGATTCTTGAAGGCATATTATTAGAGGATTATGTTCTTGGATTATCAGTTTGAGCTCATCTTTTTTTTTTAAAAACCGTTTATGTTCCATTGAATAATGGCATAGGTCCTCTGTAGGGGTTTGGTTGGTGCTAGTGATTCATCCAGCTTATTAACTGTTTGTTCTATAGAATTTGTGCGCTTAGGTAGTGTATTTGTATTATTGTTAATGTTGTTGTTATTTGTGATCATTTGATTTTTTTTTTTTTTTTTGTTATTGTGTAATAACTATCACTTCATAATGTTGATTTTTGTTTTTATTCAGTTTGGATGGGCTCAGTGGACAACGCTTTGTCTAGGAGGGAATTACAAAGTCGCGTCAATCTGTTTTTTATGCCTGGAGTATTTATTATAGGCTTGATTTTTTCTATGACCTCGATCATTTCCAGACATGTTATATTGAAATCATCTAAAATTGAAGCCGGGTTTGATACGCCGAGGGAGTTTTCAATTATGAACTTAAACTGTTCGTAATTGATTTTTTTATTGGACATTTCTTCAAATTTGGGTTTGGTGGGTTCGAGTATTTCATCAAGCTTTAAGACTATATTTTCAATGGATTGATTGCGTTTTAATTTTTTGGTTGCTGGTCGCGATATTTTGTTTGTGTTTGGTTTGGAAATAATTTCTTTTAATATATTATCTTGAGTAGTGGATTTGGAGGTAGACGGATCATAAGTTTGGCTTGATGAAGTTGAAGAGAGTGCTGGTCTTTTTTTAATATCAGTTGTATTTGGAGTAATTAATGTGTTGTGATTTGATGTTGTTTCCATCGGGAATGGGTCCTCAAGGAGGGACTTTTGATTTGGGGCTTATGGGATGCTGTTTGTAAAGGTGTCAACGTTTGTATCTTCGAACGTATTGCATATGTTTACATTTATCTTTGTATTTGGGGCTTCTACTGGTGTGTTTTTGCATTGTTTTGTTGTGTGACCTTTGTGTTTGCATAGGTAACAGTGAATTGAGTCATCGTCCAAGATGTTGGATTCTGTCATTCTGTGAGATGTATTTTCGAGTTTAATCAGAATGGATTTTGGTAGTTTTTCGAAATCATCTGGTTTGATGTAAACTTGGCGTCTAAAGCTTATGATGTGAGCTAGTTCTGGGATGTTGAATCCCGCGTTGATATGTGTAATTGGTGATAATATTTGGATTTTATGATATTCTAAGTGTGTTATAATGTTTTCGTTTGGTATATCGGGTGTGACATGCGATATAATAATTTTTTTAGCCGGGTTTATTAACCGTCTAATTTTGATCGTTGTGTGTGTGTTTATTATGATGTTGGGATGGTTATCTACAAGAAAGTCAACCGTGTTTTTGTTATTGAGATATATACAGAATCTGTTATTGGTAATCCGAGAAGCAAATTTTATGTTTTTCATTGGAGTTAATTTGCTGATTGCAATTATGTATTCAATTTGGGGTATGTAGTCAATTGAATCGAAGACTATTGCGTGTTCTTTTTTGGGAAGTGTAGTGTTGAGAGTGGTTTCGGCGAAAGATTTTTTTCCAGAAGCGTATTTTTCTGGTTCATTATTGGAGTTTTGTTGAGATGAGGAATTGATATTATGCACGCTTTGTATATGGTTGGTCTTGTTGATGGAATCGTGATTAGAAATATTTATATCGTTGGTTTTAATTGCGTCGTTGTTGTAGTTGTTATCGGAGTGTTGAGATGAAAGAGGCTCATTAGTCACGTTATCTGCTATGACAACGGAGGGCCCGGTTTTAGATATTGTTGGGACATTTTGATTGTTAGGTGAAACTTTAGATGAGGAAATAAGTCTTTCTTTAAGCTTTTTAATTTTGGTATGAGGATCACCCATTTTTTTGGATGTTTTATTAATTTGTAATGTTAATATGTGTATATGGATCAACGGTTAAAGTTATTCATATTACCTGTACACACGTAGGGCTTCAGTACGCTAACAAGAGCTATAAATGCGAGAGCGCGATAGCGATAAGCGTGTTACTTGATCGGGTGTGCACACGTAACTGTAATATTATTTTATTAGTGAAATTTAAAGGGATCCATATATTACCATATATCGTAGTTTAAAATAATAACAAAAAAAATAAATTATATACTTGTCGTAAGTGCAAGTATTTAATTTACTCATTTAATTTACAATGAATGTAAAGAAACTAAACTTTACCTAAATAAAGATGACAATATTATCTGTGTTTGTATGTTGGATATAATAAATAAGTCAACTCGGTCAGTTTATATGATGCAAAAAATATTGCAAAAAACTAACTTCTTACACAAGTAATAAAAATGAATGTATCGAAAAAAACCATCGTAAAAACACGAATAATATTGTAAAATTTGATAATTGTACGACAACTGTAACCCAAATGAGAGCTATTCTACTGGAACATGTATTTTAACGGAAAATACATGAGTGTTACGCGCTCTTAACGCAATGTTGTAATTGTTTAAAACGCGATAAATTGAAGCGAGATAATGTTATACGGTTTTTATCGACTCTTAATGTAATAGTTTCATTATTTGCATTAATTGAATAAAAAATATCATCGGTTAATACATTTAGTTTGGAATGAGTATAAAGTCCACTAAGAATTGTGTTAAAATTAGATTCAGATATTATGTAATTCCATTTTTCTTCGTCTAATTTCAAAATCTGTTTTGTTAATTCACATTCGAGTAGAATAACAATTTTAATTTGATAATCAACTAAAAATCCAATTGAAATTCTTTTTTTGTTATTAAAAGGTTGAATACTAAAAACTGATTTACATACTACTGTTGAAATCATTATATTTTAATAATATGATGTATAATATAATTAAAAATATTAATAATCAAATTCATCGTGAAAACGTATTGGTGGTTTTGAAATCCTTATGAACTTCCTTATAGTTTTAGTTTTCTTCTCTAAATTATATTTCAGTAACATAATTTTTTTCACTTTTAAATATTTAAAATCGACACTAATAACAATATTCAAAGGAAACATAACTTAAAAAACATATACAATTATTTGCAGCACACTA